ACATTAGTAATATTAGGGGCTATTAGCTGGCAAATAAATAGGAGGGACTTCAGAGAAGAAAAGCAGGGAGGAGAGGGTGGATTTTGTTGTGGATAAATACAAAAATATGTATAAAGAGGAAAAATAAGAACAAGTCTGGTGCAAGAAGGGAAACTTTCTATACACATTTTGAAGAATGTAAACTCTATGGATGGGGAAGTCTTTAGTCGGGAATTACTGAGAGTAAAGCAACATAAATGTCAAGAAAATTTTACGAGTCACGATGAATTTTCTAATCATTCTTCTGCCAATGTAGCTGAAGTCTTCTCTCTTGGGCATTGAGAGAGCAGGCAGAAAAAGGAACAAGTAGAAGCAATGGATCTTTGGCCAGATGGAAGTGATGACTTTGGATATTTCTCACCTCTAATTTCTTACAGCATCACCAAAGATGAAATCCTTCCCTGTAGATGGATTCTGACTTGTAGGAAAAAAAAAAATGAGCTTGATTTTTCATGTTAAGTTTCTGTGCCTTTGTTGTGTTTATATGTGTGTGTGTGTAACACAACATATACAGTTTTTTGGTGATGTTTTTATTTTTAGTGAGGCAACTCACTTGCATTGACTTGCTTCATGTAAAATCCTAGTGGAAATATCGCACAAGTCAGTTGGTATTTGTATCATTTGTGCTTCCCCCCCCTCACTCCCTTTCCTTGTCTGTTAGGAGATGTATGTGTATATAGTGTCATACTATGACAGCAGTGTTATACGATGGCAAAAATCACAGAGCATAGCTCTACTGGAATTTAACCTATTTAATAGGTTAATATTGTAATTTAATAAAAATATTGTATTTAATAAAATAGGTATTACACGCAGTTCATAACTGCAGTTATGTAGCTGTAGTTAACTGCTGATGTTTACCTTCCCAGCAGTGAAGACAGCCAAATTTCATTAATGAAAATGTATTACATTCTAAATATTTAACTCTAACAGCTGTCCTGAATTCTCGCTGAGCATCTCAAGTAGTTTTTGTTTAATCTTTGGTATGAATAAGCATATATGCTTATACTTAGCATTTCTGCCAAGTTCAATAATGTCTTATTGCATAACTTCTGATCTGTTGTCCTCTCATTATTTCTCTGTTTCAGAGTTAAATATCCAGGTAATCATTCCCTTTTGTTTAAAGTGACTTTCTGAAGTATACATACACCTCTTGCTTTTGTACCTTGCCAGTGCTACTAAAAATATTCCAAGTTGTTTGTTAGCCCTGCTAAGTAGCCTATTGCCTGTATTGTCATTCCCTTACTAAATGCAATTATTAATTGAAAGCTTTTTACTCATCAATAATATATTATTGTGGACTTGTTTTTTATGTACATGATTTTGTATCCAGTTATGTCTTTATATTTCATAATCTCTATAAAAATAAGTTATCTGCCAATTTGCCTGGTCAGCTGAGCATTTCATTGCAGTTCTGTAGGTGAGCATAGGTCATGTGTTTGCCTGAATTCACCTGGGATTTCTGTACACTCACACTTGCATGTGCACTTGAGTGTGGGTTGTCTTTGGATGTCTTTTTTTTTGTCTTTAAAATTCCATGTTTTAACATTTATTTTGATAGGGTGCACTTCTATCTCATGGCAAATGAGTTTTCATACTCTGTAGTAAATTTTGAGAAAAATCTCTGTTACTGCTTCTATTTACTTCACATCTAATAATGTTTATGAAAAACATGTGAAACATGGGATGTTTTGGTATGCAAAAGGCCATTTGACTGTAATCCTCTGAGTACTTTTTTCATAGACCTGTTTTTTTAATTTATAATTTATAAATTTTATAGTTTATTTTTATAATATATATTAATTTATAACTTTAATTTATATTTATATTTTTTAATTTATATATAAATAAAGTTTAGAAAAGCCTGAACAAACCATATTGTGAGCCATTCTTCAGTGTGTGGCTTTATAAAAGCCCTGCCTGGTGTTTCAAAGTAAGTTTCAAAATTTGTAATTTTATATCTTGTTCTCTTAAACAGTATGCTACCTGAGTTTTTATTAGACTTCTATACTTCGAAAACTTTTGTTTGGAACACTATAATTTCTATAATTTCTATTATTCATGTTAATGTGGCCTCTTTTATTTTAATACAGTCGTGGAATTTATATTACATACATCTTATTGCTATATATTATTTATAATGCTTAGGCAATTTTAAAATAAATCTGAGAAGAATATCTGTGATATAAGTGTTGCCATATAATATAGGCATATATAGATGGAGATTATTTTTTAAAAAAAAAACCTCCCCCACCCCCCCTTTTTAAAACATAATATGCTTTTCCAAAAAAAAGGACTTTCTTTTCTTCATTTTCCAAGCATATAAATTTGATGCATAGTTTACTTTGGCGGTGATTTTTAATTTTCTTGGAGCAAGGAGATGGCTGCAAAAGAAATGAGGTTGTGCACATTCATGGGCTGGAGTCTGTGAGGAAGTTTGAGAAACAAGGAGAGGGGAAGTAGTTTGCAAAACGCTGAACAGATGCTTTGGCTTGGTGACAAATGGTTTATGAATGCTGTCTGGAGCATTTCATGAAATGGTGTAGGACTAACGTGTAGATAGATACACGCAAATTTACTCTTAAGTATTTTTAATTCTGAAAAATCAGATTGAAAGAGTAGTATTAAGCATGTTGATATGCTGAAAAATGTGTGTTGTTGGAGCTTCCAAAGGCTATGGCAGATTATTATGGTAAAGGGTAGATAGGAAGAGGATGTCAAAGTATTTCTGGTTCATTTTTTGTTGTTTGATTTGTGATTTTTTTTTCTCCTAGTAGTTTTATCTCAGAATGAACTGAAAGAAGGAAAAATTCAATAATTCTGCCAGTTTTAATTCTTCTATTCTACTACTTCCCTCCTGACCTGCCCCCCTCCAGAATAAGTTGTAAGGCTTATCTGCTTCCCAGGCTTAGCTTGAAAAAAGTCATGATATTTTGCTTGGGGAATTGTTGTTGTTGTTGCTTTTTGTCTTTTTTTTTTTTTTTTTTAGTCTTTTTTTAAAACCACTTGCAAGGAAAATGTAACAAAGACTAAGGGGAAGTGTAGATGGCTAAAGTGCTCTTGTTGTGGAGATCCGTCTTTGAAACTTTCCCCTGAGCCTCTTCTAACCCTCATGTAGAAAAATTGATATATGGCTTCTCCCACCCTAAATGTGGAATATTTATTGACAAATTATGAAAATGTTATTTTGTACTGTGCTAATCATGAATAGCCAGGTGCTTCTGATGCATATTACAAACAAGGTTTAAATAAGTTTATTCTAGAAGCAAGGGGCATAATAGCTGCAGAGTTGTGGACATGGTTTAGGGATGTTTTTTCTAACAGCTGGCGTGTAATTATCTAAAAATCAATTGTTTTTTAGACTATAATCATGAAAGGCTCCTAATAGCAGAAAACCTAAATAGAATAATACAGTTCTTTAGTGTCTTTGTAAATGAATATTAATGATGAAGAGATGGTGATTAGCATCTTGTATAGTGCCAGATTCTCTATTTAAAAAAAAAATCTCTTTGGTTATCTAAATATTAACTAGGTGTTTATGCAGTAGAGTTGTTTTGTTTAAACCTTTTATTTTAAGATTAATAGGAAGAAAAGATGTCAATGCCGTACTTGTATAAAAACTGATTTCAGTCTGTACTGTTACCCCATTCCCTTCTGTTAGAAGCACAGCATTGCTTTTTTTACAGTTTTGTAGCACGGCATTGCATTCTCGGCCAGTAAGGTGATGACATAGATGACTTATAAATGAACAAGCAAACCTATGTTTTTATTTATTTATGCAAAATACTGGAATGTTCATCTTTTTTGAACAACAACTTGGCAATAATTTTGGCTGCCAGTACCTCAAATCTATTTTTGAAATGGTTAGTATGACTGTTTAGGACATATTAGAACACAAGATTTCCTTGTTGCTTAGAAATTAAAAGATGAAACATCATGTGTATACAAGTAATACATCATACAAAGTCACATGTCAAAGAAGAAATTCCGTCTGCACATCAGTAATATGCTTATTCATGCACATATTCTCCTGGCTTTTTTATCTTCTATACACTTGCAAAATAAATTTACAAGATTGGGCACTTTCCAACAATAGATACCTCTGTTATCCCCTCCTCTTCTCTCAAATACACTGGCAAATGGAGCAGCAAACCCAACTTTTCAGGACTTCCAATGTGGCTCGCAGCGAGTTCTTCGCTTCTTTGCTTATGCAAGCTTGTATTGCTTGCATAACACAGTTCAAGTCTGCTTCTTGTTTTGGATAAGGTTGAGCAAGGTCTTGTAAAACACTGCTGAAAAATATGGATCTTATTATTCGTTATTAGTCATTTAGAGAACGCTGTTGAAGCCTGATAGGAAAATTTTGGCCTCAGTGTCCTCAGAAAAGAGTGGTAAAGCATTGGAACAGGCTGCCCAGCCTAATGGTGGAGTCAGCATCCCTGGCAGTGTTCAAGTAACATGTAGATGAGTCACTTAAGGATATGGATTAGCCAGCATCATGGTGATGGTTTTACAGTTGGATTTTGATGATCTTGAAGCTCTTTTCCAACCGTAATGGTTCTGTGATTCTATGATTTCACGCTCTTGCCGTTACATTTACTTACTCTGTTATCTTATTCCCAATTAATCTGATGCGAAGATGGGAGCCAGAAATGTTTGTAGGTAGAAGCAGAAAGGACTTCAGAGATATGTGATGTGGCTATATGGCTATTTTGTATCTACCATCTCCTGTAATATCTATTCAGTGGCATTGTGGGCATTTTAGTCTGCTGCATTTCTCGCTCTTCTGTATATTCCGTTTATTATTATTATTATTATTTATTATTATTCTTTTGAGAGTTTGGACTACAAAGTTCATCAAACCCATGTATTCTATCCTTTTTCAGAATGAACAGCCTATTGCCTGGCATTTATCTGGGTCCTTACTACTACTTTGCTTTTTTTCCTCTCCTCTCCTATAGGATCATACATGATTGTGATTTCCTCAGACCATGACCCCGGAGAAAAGACTCGACTCCAGCTTCCTACAATGAAGGAAAATGATACTCACTGCATCGATTTCAGCTACCTTTTATATAGCAAGAGTGGGACAAACCCGGGAACACTCAACATTCTCGTCCGAGTGAACAAAGGGCCGCTGGCTAATCCCATCTGGAACGTCACTGGCTCCACTGGCAAAGACTGGCTTCGAGCAGAGCTGGCTGTCAGCACTTTCTGGCCAAATGAGTATCAGGTATGCCTGCCATAATTGTCACCTTTTTCTAAGGTCAACAGCTAGGTCCTATACGCTTCTTTGCATTCATGTTGGTCTCTTCTTTCAGAATACTTTTCTGATGCACTTAAATTACTCTGTTTGGAGATGGGCATTTTTAAAGTGGAGAAATTGTTCAAAGATATCTGTTATCATATAATAGAAAAAAATGATCAAGAAAAGTGCGTAAATAAAAAAAAAAATGACAAGGTTAAAATGCAGGAGGATCAAAACTGATAAACCTCAAGAAATAAATTGCCTCCACAGCTGTAATTTGTAGCTGTCTTCCTTCCTCTTTGGGACATGCCTGCATTACTCTATCTAATTGCATGACTGTAAACTCTGTTTTTTCCACATGACATTTGCTTCATTTGCTGTGCAAGAGGAATGGTGCTCACCTAATGAGCAGCTGCTCAGGATGTGCTTTTTTTTTTTTTTTTCCTCTTTGTTCACCATGGGACAAAACCACCTGCAGCACAGGGCTGTTGTTTAGTGAGCAAAATCGTCTTGTTATTACTAGATGTTGTTATTTGATTTGTTTGATTAACCTGAGAAGCTACCTGCAGCTGTTTCACTCAGTGGGTACTTGATGTGAAGGAGGAATCTCGTATCCAGGCATTTCTGTCCTGGCGTGCAAGGAGAGGAAGAGTTGTATTAGGTGAGTTGGCATAAGCTCGCTAGTAAATCATGAGGTGTTATCTTATAATTGTACAGAGTGCTTATGGGCCCATGTCTAAGCATGATTCAGGTCATTAGTACTCCTGCAAACACCTTGGATGTCTGCACTGATTTTCAAATGAAGCAAAATGTCCCCTTTCTTAATGGTTTTCTCGAATGGGGTATTGGAGGAATGTTTCTTCACAATTGCCTGACATCAAAATAATCTCTATGAAAAATGAACATGAGTGCAATTGCTGGCAATCTTAATGGTACGAGAAACATGGTAGGTTTTAGCATTTAAAACTTTCTGTTTGATTTTTATTCCCATTTTACAATTTTTTTTGTGTCTAAAGGAGCTTACATCTCCCGTGACATGAAACTATGTAAAATTTGATTTAAAGATCTAAAACTTGACTTCAGGAATCTTCCTTCTGAGGAGATGTTTTATTAACCCTTTTCCATTACTAGGAAGTGTGCTAAATAAGAAAAAAAATCTCATGCCTTTTACAGCAGTCTAGTAGTAATCACGTGTAGCTGTATGATGTGCAGTAAATCAGGTGTCTGCTGGCAGATGGCCAGGCTTGACAATAAGATTGGTGGCTGGGGCCTTATCTTAGCAACGTGGCCATTTTTCACTTGCGTTATAGACTTGGCATTATCTCTCTACAGACTGTGCTTAACACGTTCTTTTCCATGTTCAGTCAGCAGTGGAATGTTAAAATCACGTGTAATGCAGTTTACTTTAAAATTAAGAATAAATCTGGAGTATGACTAGATTCCTGTTGGTGCGAGCTGCTGCGATTTATGTACTGCTTGTATAAACAGGAGAGAAAATAGGCATTCATTTTTCCTAGAGGTGTATCCTGCGTTTCTGAGCTTCAGCTTTGTCACATGTTGATCTACCTCTTGGTAGTGCTGAAGGAAAACATGCAACTGATTTTTAAAGCAAGGTAAAAGATATTCTTGTACTAAAACTAAAAAGTAATGCCAGATGCGAGCAAGGACATTTTTGCTAGAGCTCATGGAGGAGCAGAACTACATATGTCTTGTTAATCAGGTCATCTTCAACACAATGTCCTTTGTTTTGAAGTGAGGGAAGAGACTGTAAGGGGATGGCTGACAAGGGCTGTGTTTTAAGGAAGTCCCGAATGGCGAATTGGAGGTTAGCAGGATGGTTGTGTTAATAACCTTAATATGGACTGCACCAGGTTAATTAGCTCCTAGAAAGCATTTCTGTGCTCTGCTGGGATGGTCCAGGGTTATTGCTTCCTGCTCTAAGCTAGAACCGTATTTTTGCAGGTCACTCTGTACATAAAGACACAGCTTAGGCATTGCTGGACAGAGTGAACATATCTTCTTACTTATGGGAAGATTTTTAAAATGATCCACTTGCTTGCTTGTCTTTATGTTCTCTTGAGCTATCTTTCCTGGTAAAATATAGCCATGTTTATTATGACAGCTTTAGTGGATCAACCTGAACTTTCATTAACTCTGTACCCTGCGAGTGACAGTAGACAGCAGTGGAAGCTTATGGAAGAGTTCATGAACAGGCCAAATTCACAGCGATGCTTCCCCAGAACGCACTTCCTGGCCAGAGCCAATATGTGGTCAAGAAATTTGAGCTTCAGAGCTTAGGGCAGGGCCTCCGAATCCTTCACTAGGGTTTAGCCCCCTTGCTTTTTTGCACAGGAATAAGCTTTGGGTAGCTGCAGTGTGTGTGAGGTGAAATCCTACATGTTCCTTGCACATTTGGGCTGTTCCCTTGGGTTGCTCAGCATGGGGCTGGTAACTCTTCTGCTCTCCTGTTTTGCACTCGGGCAGCTTCTGCAGCCTGGTGCTGATACGATCTGCTTGCCCTATCCTGCTAACAGGGCATCTGCTTCTCTTATCTGTTTGCTTAACATGTGGGTGAACTGTCCAGGAAAAGAGTTAGAGAATCCCTTGGGACTGAAGACATGATTTGATTTTGATCCTTGTTAGTTCTGGGATCTTATTTTCTTGTTCTATTGGAAATATGCCACCTCTAACCTGCCCAAAGTCTATTTTAAAGGAAAAATATTTGGGGACTTTTTAGTGTTTAAACTTTGTGGAGGAGTTTTGTCTCTCTTTCTATGTTCCATTGCTACTGTCACTAACTAGTTTATTTTAGTCAAGATGTTTATTCCTTTCTGGATTCATTGTTTTGTCTAACACTTCATTTGCCCAAGTCCTTTCCTGCTTTTTACAGTAGAAATTGCCCAACTGCAGAGGAATGTCCTTCTGCTTCTCTCATATTTCCCAGTGCGGGGTTCTCTTCCCTTCCCTTTTCTATTTTTTATTTTTAATTGGAGACTATTTTCCAGAAGTCCCTTTTCATCCTTTGTTATGTATCTGTGTGTGGCTTTTTGTTTTGTTTTCCTTTTTCCCTGAGCAAATTCATTTGCTCCAGAGGGTCACATAGTTCTGAAATCCTTCCTAAATCTCTATCTATGAAGTCCACTTTCCAATGTGAGCCGTGGACTTTGGGGTTTTAGTTATATATTACATCTTCTGGTTTGAATAACCTTTGGTCAGAAATTGGTAAAGAAAACTCTGAACGTAGAGCAACAAATATCAAACTTCTTAAAAAATGAATTAGTTGTTTTATTTATGCAGCTTTAAAATGTAATTATGCAAGAATGCTGCTCTATAACTTCATTAAGAGACTGGCTAAGATAAACGTTTGATAGGAGTGATGCACTTGGAAGTGTAGCCTACTAACAAACTAAAAATATGAAAATGCTCTAAGTATAGAAGTTCTTTAATCAGGTCAGGAAGGCTAATGATGCATTAATAAAGTGCAGGAAAACTCTGGAAAGCTAAGTGACCTCATTGCTGAATTGTGAATCCTGATTTGGGTAATGAATCTGTACTTTATTTTAATATGGATAATTTATAGGGATTATGAAAGTTTAAATCACTTAGAGATCTTGGAGAGTTATTTTCCTTTATGATCTTATATAGTATTGAAACTATAATAGGTTTATAACAGGAGGTTGGAAAATTGATTGAAAATTCACTAATGGTATTTATACTTGGGCCAAATGCCAGATAAGGGAAAAAACAGATTTCCTGTGAAACAGGAAAACTGATGGCCTTTTTGGGTGTAGTAGAATCAGATCACTTAGTTTATTCCATACTCAAAATCAAAGGATTTTATTGAAAATACTAATATTGAGATACAGAAAGTGACTTAATATATAACCAAAAGATACTGCATGAATAAAACATGTAAATACTGTATTTTTTTGACTTAATGGATAAGAATTGAACATAGAAAGTCTTATACTTGGCATTTTTAAGAAACAGGTAGCCAGGCAATTTAAAGATAGATGTGAGGAAAATGCACAAATAGGCTAAGTTGCTTCGGTTTGCAAAAAGACGCAGGTCGGGAGAATATGGTAAAGGTGTGCAAAACCCATAGTGGATATGAAGAGGAAAAGTGGGAATTCACTGTTGACATCCTCTTCCAACACAAGAATTTGGGGCTGGAAGATGAGGCTGATGGTGGTCAAACTCAAGAGAACGACAGGCAGTGGCTCATGCATTGTGTTGGTAGACGTGCAAAAGGCCGTGTCAGAAATGACTGTAGTGAGGAGTTTTTAGAAAATATCAGGAAATCAGAAACTAATCAGACAAACATAGGAAGTCTCACTGAGCTGCAAACCATAGTTGGAGATGTGAAGACTACTTTGGGGGATGAACAAGTATTGCATATTCTTGCCCTGTTCCTATCTTTTCAGTTTTTTATGACCACTTTTAAAGAGAGGATATTGGGCTAAGTAGATCTTTGGCCTGAAGTACTAAGCCATTAGTTTACACAAAGAGCAAAGGCAATTTTTCCACAAGGTGGGGGTGATGGCGCTTGAGGGGTTTATGTGTGTGCGTATATGTGTCTAATTGCTAATAAGAATCTGCATTACCACTTGGCAAGTGGGTGCTTGCTTAATTTGTCTCCCTTTTCCTAGGCAGAATAGATGTCCTTTTTATGCTCTGTAGTTACTTAATCTGATGTTATTCAGTGAAAGCTTTTGTTCTGGTTGTGGAGAAAGAAAAGAAAAGAAAAAAAAAAAAAGTTCTGCCATGACCAACCTCATGCCCGTTTCTTTTGGCCCTTTCGGCCCTTGTTATTGCCTTTCAATCTAACATGGACTAACAGACTTTCATTAAATGTGGCCTCATCTGCAAATTCTAACTGAAAAATCTACAACAGTCTATCAGCATGACAACGTACCCGCTGTCATCATTCTCTTCATTCTCTTATTTATTCTTGAGATAAAGAATTAGGCTATTTACTTTTGTTT